CCCCCCCCCCCCCCCGGTTGCTACGGCCCTGTCATGTATATATACTAGGTGATAGCTAGGTAAATAATATGGTATCTCATTTGATAGGACTAAACGTACAAGGGTTTTTGTAGCAAGAAATTTGAAGTGTAAATTTTGAGTTTCTAAAATATCTGTCTATCATTGCAGGTTTCTCAACTTGTTATTCTCCATGAGGAGACAGAAGGTGGTCTGGCAATGCCAGATTTATCAGCACCCGTCCAGGCTGTCAGTGCCGCCGTACAAAACCTTGTTCTGGTAAGTAAACACAACAACATTTGAAAAACACCAAGCGATATTGCAATCATGGCTTTAAACCAGTTGCTTTCAATCTGCTCTCAATACAATTATTACAATTATACAATTTGGTCATTTTCGCATTTTTAAGATCCAAAAAAGTTAGATCCAATGATTTCCGGGTTTGCAGTGCTCACAGTTTGCTGCTCAATGAGTTCATTTCCATCATTAGAGAGGTTAAGATTGACGTTTAAGGCAGACCGCAAACGGCAAACTTCAAGTTGTGTCTAAAAACTTGTCAAAACCTTCGGAAATTCATAGAATTTACCTTCAAATGCGATTTCAAGTTTGCCATTTGTGTTTGGTGGTCTACTGTAAACATCAATCTTAACCCGTGGCTCTCTAATAACCCATTAAGCTGCTGCCCTACGTTTGATACCCTCTAACATCAGACAACTTTACTCATGAAGTGGAGAGTGCTGCCACTTAATGGGTTTAATTACCAAATTGAATTTCTCCAGGTTGGCAAACAAACAATGGAGGACAGTAAAGATCAGATTTTGAAACAAGAAATGCCTCTAGCATTCTCAAGAGTGGAAGAGTCATCAAGGTTGTTGGTCGGTGCAACACAGATATTTAAGAATGATCCTACTTCACCCGAAGGAAGAAAGAAGTTACTGGATGGAGCCAGAGGTATTCAGAATGAAAGTGTTGACAGAGTTTTCATAGAATTAGTCACATAGCACATTGTATATTGCATAATATTATATACTGTATCATCATTATCATTCTGACATCTATCTTCTGACAGGTGGTCAGACTCTTTGTAACTTGTATGAGTAAAAATATATACATGAACTTGCAGTTACTGTAGAGCTCAACAACTGGCCTCTGTACAGTAGCTCAGTTGGTTGAAATCTCACGCTGCCAGACTGCCTATCCAGAGAGCACCCAGAGTGCATCCAGAGAAAACTCACGACTTTCGGCAGAGTGTTGACTGACTCTTTTCACATGAGTCCGTAGCCAGAATTGAACCCACAATCTCAGAGTTGAAAGGCACTTGCCCTGACGACTGCACCGCCGAAGCCCCTTTGAGTATCAGTTGGTATTTATTAATTTGGGGGATGTAAGAGAGAATTAAATATTTATATGCTGGTCTACTAGTTGAGTAACACATTTTATGTTTATTCTATTACAAAGGGATCTTATCTGGGACATCGGCAATGCTGTTGACATTTGATGAAGGCGAAGTCCGTAAAATTGTTGCTGTGTGCCGTGGTGTCATAAAATACCTTCAAGTGGCTGAAGTTGTAGAAAGAATGGAAGACCTCATTACTTTCGTGAAAAACCTCACACCAGGAGTGACGAACATGGCGAAACAGGTGGAAGCACGGGCCAAAGAGTTGACCCACGTTGCCCATGCAGACATCTTAGACCAACGTGTGGCTAGTGTGAAGAAAATGATTCCATTGTTGATTTCATCCATCAAGACTTTTGTCACCACAGGAACAGGTAATCATTGTAAGAGGTTTTGATTTAATCACTCATGATCAATGTGCTCAAACTAGGTTCAAAGCATGCTGCTTAGTGCTGTTTGCCGGAGTTCTGCCATTTTTTGGTCACCCGGAGTAATTGCAGTGCTTTCTTCCTGCTCTGGCTGAAAAGTCAAAATGACAAGAGATGTGACAATTTCGAAGAATTTAGGGTTGGTTACAAATGGTGGCAACATTGAATTTGCTAAAAGTAATGTATAATTTGAAGTCATATCTGTCATGTCAAACCATTTGTCCACTTTTGGCTACATTGCAGTATTAAGTCAGGTATGTGATCTGTCTTATCACAAAAAAAGTTTTAATACAATTGCAAGCTGTTTTGATCCGAATTTTTAATCTGAAAGTTTTATATCCACCATTATCCATTCCAGACTTTATCCCCTTAGAGTTAGTTGTGAACCAACACAGCCATATATTTGAGCTGTAAAGCAGCTGGAGCAGGAGCCAAGCTGAAAAATGGGAGTTTGCGCAGCTCTCTGAGCTGGCTCAAAGACGCCAGGAGAAGATATTTGAAATGTAAAACCAATTTTGAAGCTTGCTGGAATAAAGCAGATCAATTTTAATCATTTGCATATGTGATCAATGCTGACTAATAAATGTTTGGAGCAGGCTTAAAAAGGTTCAAAGGCTTCTCATGACAATGTTAACCACCACTTGTGCAAAGAAACGAACCAAAAACTGTCTGTTAATATATCAATACTATGTTTCTCCTGATTCAAATGAAATCTTGTCTTTAGGTTCCCAAGGTCGTGCAGAAGCGCAAGGCAATCGCAACTACATCATTGAGAAAATGTTTGCAGACATTGAAGAGATTATCCGAGTCTTACAACTGACCACTTATGATGAGGACGAAGGAGACGACCCAATCAATGATATGAGAAAAGCTGCTTCAATCATTAATAATAAGATGGATCTTGCCCACTCCTGGTTGAATGACCCCAATGCTGATGCTGGAGGTCTAGGTAAGACTAAAGTGCCTTTATTTACTGGAATGTTCTACCAACTTTTTATAATGTTTTCTCTTGAGATCCAGTAAGCTGTTCTCCATTATTTTTAATTAATTGTTTTTCCTGGGGTCTGGTAAGGCATGTCAACCCTTTTTTCCTCCAGTGTTGCTCATCTTCTTAATCATTAATCACTACCACCACTAATCCACCATTGATCATCATCAGATGGTGTTATTACACCATTGTCATCATCATCACCATCATCACCACCACCATCATCATCATTACCATCATCTTTATCATCATAATCAACATCATCTTTATTACTGTATCACCACATCTTGACCACCATCATCATCACCATCATCATCATCATTACCACCATCAGATGGTGTTATCATCGCCATCATTATCATCATCATGATTATCATCATTTTGTCCATCTTCTTTCACAATTGGGGTGAGACTTGATCTTCCTCCATCTTGCTTGTCACATTTCTCTACCATCTTCAACATTCTGACTTCGTTTTGAGACATGTCCAAACCATCAATGTCATTTCCCCCATATCTCTTCCAAACCACATCTTTTAGCCACTGGCCACTCCAGCCTGCAATGTCACTCCAGCCATATACCCAAGTATCCGTTAATCTCAGTCACATATGTTTCCCCACTGGAGTTACCAAAGGAGACCTGCACTATTCTATATTTATCTCAAATGCATAAATATAGAACGCGCGTACTGTAAAACTAGCTCAAAACTAGTTGTTCATATTCCCCAGGTGAATCCGCTGTGCGAAACATCATCAACCAGGGTCGCCAGGCAGCTGCCGCGGCTTCAGATCCGGAAAAAACTCGCATTGAGAAAGTCTGTAACGAACTTGATAAATTGCTGGATGATTTAGCAGCACTGAGGAGACAAGGAAAGGTATGAAAAAAGAAGCCATTTGATACATACAAGTATAATATACAGTGTATTTTAGATGAAGTTTTAATTTATCTCGACTGAAATCTTATATCAAAAAAGTTTTTTTAGTACTATTGATAAAAACTGAACCAAGTCTTTAACCAGCCCTTGTGGTGTCGTGATCACCACGCTTGCCTTGCTGGGAGACCCGGGTTCAATCCTTGGTCGGACCTCTGCTCAAGGTCTTAAAATATTTGAGAAGAAAGTGCTACCTTTACATTGACATCAGTAAATGGCTAAGCCTAGTTTCCATATGGTCGTAAAAATAGAGTCACGATCTTTCTCATGCAACAGCCAGTTTATAATAGTTTATATCTGTAAACCACATATAAATCATAAGTATTCTCTAGTTATAATCACTCCGCGTATTTTCAGTTCTAAAATGTTGTATTTCGGCTGATGAGAAAGATCGCGACTCAATCTTTACGACCTTGACGACCATATGGAAACCAGGCTTTAGATTTTCGCGTCTTCTCGGATAAGGACGTTAAATCGTAGGATAACCACGGATCCCCTATCAATTCGGCAATATCCTGTTGGGCAATCCGCTCACCAATGAGTGCGAATTCAATAAACATGTTATTAAAGCAAAGGTCTTTATATATTTCTCAGGGAACAAGTCCTGAAGCTCAGAGATTGGTCCAACAAATCAAAGAGAAACTCGGTGTCCTTCAGAACGACATTGAAGATGCCATTCAACATCAGGCCATTACAGGGGGAAAGAAACCCAACATAACGTTCGCTGGCAAGCGCGATCAGGTTCAGGAATGGTTGCATAATCCCGCTGGAGACCCATCTGGTTTGGGTAAGATTTCATTACGTTTAGTAAAACATAATATAACCATTGTAGAGCATTGGGCTAGTATTCCAAAGGTCGTAGGTTCGATTCCCACCGTGGTCAGGCATATTTTTCAAGCTTGCCCGGTGTGGATATACACTCAGAGTAACATCACAAGCATCTTATTCACCTGAGTACATTGCACCAACACAGAAAATATCATAATATAACCATACGAAACAGAACGAGCTTTATTTATCATATTGGATAGCAATATTAGTTCTACACACGTAAAAACACACAAGTTATAACAAACCTGCAGCAGACTTGTAGCAATTCTGTTCCAACAACTTGTCAACAGGATGTGTTCACATTGCTTGTTCCCAGCTTGTTGGCAATTTGTCTGCGACTTGTTGACAACTTGCTACAAGGTTGTTGAGCTTACTGTAACAGACTTGTTACAAGTTGTTCCAACAACTTGTTATCGTCCTGCAATTCAACAATTTGTCGACAAGTTGTATGTGACAACCTTGTAGCAACTTGATGAAATAACAGCATTGTTACAACTTGTTGACAAGCTTGCTACAAGCCTGTTGCGAACACATCTTGTTGACAAGTTGTGAGATTTTTGCGTGTGTAGAGGAAGGGGATTTAGCTAAACCAAACGCTGTATTTTATCGCTGTAAACTATCATCTTTCATTTATTCAAGGCTGTTTCCTTTCTATTTTCTCGTTAGCGCAAGAAGCTATCGCTCAATGTGTTCAAGATGCAAGAAATTTCGCGAAGAATTTATCTGGACCGGAACGAAAAGAGATTATGGATCTGGCAGACGACGTCGAGCATCTTTCTAAAAAACTTGCAGACCTCAAGAGGCAAGGCAAGGTATGTGTCGCGTCCAATCCTTAAGGTAAAATAATGAGTGATAAGCGTGCAAGTGATGAACCAGGCGGGAATCGTAATCGCAATATAAAATTAATACCCAGCATAACGTACGCAAAAGAGCCATATAGACAAGTATATACTGTAGACATAAAATTTATTTGAGAAATACTAACGTTTCGTCTTTAACTTAAGACATCTTCAGAGTAAATGAATATAGTATGACAATGAGTTACAAATATAATAGTAATTTATTCATATTTGTAACTCATTGTCATACTATATTCATTTACTCTGAAGATGTTTTAAGTTAAAGACGAAACGTTAGTAATTCTCAAATAAATTTTATGTTGTTATGCTGGGCATTAATTTTTGTATTGCGATAAGCTTGCCATTAATTTTTACGACTACAGCAATTTATGTTCTTTCTGTACATGTTCTATCGTTCAGAAACTTTTATACATACAGTACTATACATACTATAGTATGTACGTTAAAAACTCGTTAATAATTCACGAGGAAAAGCCAAAGGAAGAAAATCACTGCCATGTCGGTGGTTTTGTATGCGAGTATAAAGTCATATTATTGATTTACATTTATTTTCAACAAACAATGCCTTTCAGAATTCAGATGATCTGCTTTTCAAAGGGCCGTGCTCACTGTCTACATAAATATTACAATTATAACAAATTACGTAAATACTAGAAATTTTACAAAGTTAAGAAGTGGAGATTATTGGACCATTTGCATTATATAGACTAAATTTTGATCTCAACAATTCTAGATATAATTTAATCACAGCTTGAAAGAGCATCACAAAATTAGTAATATTCCAAGTTTCGTTGCGAAATGTTGTAAAATGCGGATAATATAGCCTTGCGAAGTTTGCCGTTTTTCAGTCATTTTCTATTACAAACGGGAAATTGACAGCCCCAAAGTGTATTGGGCTGTCAATTTCCCCCGCGTAATGCAAAATGACTGAAAAAAGGCAAACTTCGCAAGGCTATATTATCCGTATTTTACAACATTTCGCAACGAAACTTTGGAATATTACTAATTTTGTGATGCTCTTTCAAGCTGTGATGAAATTTTTATCTAGACTTGTTGAGATCAAAATTTAGTCTGTAATGCAAATGGCCCATTGTCTAGATGTTTTTTGAAAGAATTAAGAGAAAGAGTTAACGTTACTTTGAATATGATCATCTGGACTATTCCAGCTCACAGCTCCTCTGTAAGTAGCCTGCGAACAGGCTCTTTGAATTTAATCAAATTTCAAAGAGAGTTCAAAGAGAGCCTGTTCGCAGGCTACTCTGTAAGACAATCTTCTCATTTTGGGCTTATCTAACGAAAGATTTATATTCCCACTACCCAAGATTGGCGATATATCTTGGAAATTGAAGTGTCCCTTTTTTGTCGTAGGGTAATTCTCCAGAGGCTCAGGAGATCGCGCGTCAACTTGAAGCGAAATTAGGAGACCTGGAACGAGCGTTACAACGAGCAGTAGCAGGACGTGTTGGGGATGACTTCATGGACGTTCAGGGACCTTTGAAGCAACTTGAAAGAGCTGCCAAAGCACCGCTAGGTATTATTGTCGATTTCAAGTCATTTTCAACGCGCGGTTCCCAAGTTCGTTGCAAACTTGCCAATTACGTTTTCAAGTTCAAAAATTGCGCGTGAACTTTGCAACAAAGTTTGCAAGTACATTTCAATGTTTAAACTATTGTAAACAAATGTTCATTGAAATTAACAATCCAATGGAAAGTTCTTGTATTTCATTGAATTAGTTATTATAATTGAGTATGAACACTTGTTTACAAACTTCCGAACTTTGTTGCGAAGTTCGCGCCCAATTTCCGAACTTGGAAACGTAATTGGCAAGTTCGCAACGAACTTGGGAACCGCGCGTTGAAAAGTGATTTGAAATCGACAATAAACACGCCTTAATAAAATAAACATAGAGTGCTGAAGATAGAGTGCTGATAAAGATAGAGTGCTGAATGTGACTCATAACCCCAGTCGTCTGTTTAATAAGGAATATTGTTACAAAGCCTGCACGCCATTGCTGCCTTTTGTGTCTCCCGCGAACCCGCCTGCGCATTGTAATAATAGAGAGTTTAAGATATTATACTCGCCTTCGGCTCGAGTTTGTATATCCGATACAACACCGCTGCTCATGTTGTAAATATAGTACTTATTAAAGAGACGACTGAGGACGACAATGTCAATCTTTAATGTCCCTATTCTGTTTCCCAGGCGCCCCGAATCGTGATGTTGACTTCTCAAACAAGGCCGCAAACTTTGTGGAACATGGACAGAAACTTGCCGACACAGCAAGTCTGGTTGCAAACTTTGGTGCACCGTCTGCAGATAAACAGTTACTGGATCAGATTAACGCCGCTGGACAGGAGGTAGATACAGTAGAGTAGTAAACCTTGGAGTGACTTGTTACAGCCCTTGAAACTAAGGGTGGCAGGTCTCCGGTCAAAAGGACCGGTCAACTTGATTTTAGCTCAATCAAAATCTGTTTTTGACCGGTCATTGATACGCTTACACTAACAGTGAAACAAACTATTAGAAACTTGTTTCGATACATCGGGAAAAGTTTCAAGACGTCAGCAATCACATTGGAAGGCATGAAAATGTGGCCGGTCAAAATGACCGGTGAGGTAAAAAAGTGACCGGTCAAGAGGCATTTTCGGCCCTGCAGTCTAGGTATGTAGGCCGTTATTTTGAGCCCTGCAGTCTAGGAAGACGTTAGTGGCCAGTTGTATCTCTAGGTTGTCAATCCTCGAAGCTATCTTGGCATTTGGCAGTGCCCATCTACACACGTAAAACGGACACGTTGTAACAAATCTGCAGCAGACTTGTAGCAATGTTGTTCTAACAACTTGTCAACAGGATGTGTGAGAGTACAACGAATTTTTCGTTGTACTCCGCAGTTTCAGAATAATATGAAAATAGTTTCTACTTTCAGAATCCCTCGGCATTTTTTGCGCGATTAATTTTAATTTTTTTTTCATTTGATGTGTTAGGTGCGCAATCTCACGCCTCAAGTGGCACATGCAGCCCGCGTTCTTCTCAACAATCCGACCAATCCCAACGCCCAGGAACATTTTGAAGAAATGAAGAAACAATGGAGTGATAGAGCAGACACTTTAACTAACCTTGTTGACCAGGGCACTGACAGAGTGAAATTCCTCGAGGCTTCAGGTTTGTAGAATTAACTCTATTTATACTGGATAGCTCTATCAGTTCTAGACTGTTCTCCCTAGAGGTCCAGTAAGGATCATCCCTTATTGATCCAGTGTTACTACAGGAGGAAACCTAAACTAAACTAATTTTATTTATACAGGATAGCTCCATCAGTTCTAGACTGTTCTTCCTAGAGGTCCAGTAAGGATCATCCCTTATTGATCCAGTGTTACTACAGGAGGAAATCTAAACTAAACTAATTTTATTTATACTGGATAGCTCTATCAGTTCTAAACTGTTCTTCCTAGAGGTCCAGTAAGGATCATCTCTTATTTATCCAGTGTTACTACAGGAGGAAACCAAAACTAAACTAACTTTATTTATACTGGATAGCTCTATCAGTTCTAAACTGTTCTCCCTAGACATCCTGTAATAGTCATCCCTTACTGGTCCAGTGTTACTACAAGAGGAAGGTTAACCTAAACTAAACTAACTTTGTTCATACTGGATAGCTCTAACAGTTCTAAACTGTTCTCCGTAGAGGTAAAGTTAGGATCGTCCAGGGTTACTGTTGTCAGGTTCCTCGTTTCTACCTCTTGACTTATTTACTTATCTCTTAACAGAGGACGCCATCAAACAAGATCTTGCCGACCTCAAATCAGCAGCAGCTGACCAAGACCCACAGGTATAGATACTTCTGGTACAAGACGCGAGTCGGATATTTACAACTACAATTAGATCAATTTGACAATTAGATTCGGACATTCAATTTTTATTGTGAGTCACCTTCATGGATTAATTTGGTAATATTTACCTTTATTTACTCGTACTTACATGAAAATAAATATTTTATTTCTCTAGCTTGTCGCATCAAAGACGTCCAGTGCGGCAAGACGTGCAAACCGTGTCGTGTCCGTCGCACAGATGGAGCTCGATAATTCTGAAGATCCACAATACATTGCGACCTTGACTATACCACTTGATGATCTATCTGGAAGTAAGTCACACAACAGGCGGACATTTCCTAGAGGTTCAGTAAGAGTCATTTCTTATCGTTTCAGCGTTACATATGAGACTGAGGTGAAATTATAACAGGAATGATACGTAAAGTTTTGGAAATGGATGGCAAGAAGAACAAAATCCATCACCACAGCTAGAAAGAGCATCTTAAAATTAGTAAAATTGCCAAGTTTGGTTGCGAAATGTTGTAAAATGAGGAAAATATAGCCCGACGAAATTTGCAAATTTTGTATTAATTTGTATTACGCACGGGAAAATGCACCACTTTCGGTCCAAATGTGGTGCATTTTCCCGCGCGTAATACAAATTAATACAAAATTTGCAAATTTCGCAGGGCTTTATTTTCCGCATTTTACAACATTTCTCCACCAAACTTTGCAATTTTACTAATTTTAACATGCTCTTTCTAGCTGTGGTGATGGATTTTGTTCTTCTTGCCCAGATCAAAATTTAGTCTTTAGCTGGAATTTACCTATTGATTGAGGTATTTTCCAGGGCCTGGAAAATCTTGGAAAATCTATTGGAAAGTTTTGGAAAAGTTTTTGAAATTCAAAGGGACGAAGCTGTACGAACTCTGTCATAATCAAGCAACTGTATATTGCAGGAATTCAACCCCGGATGGGAAACTACATCCCCTCTATCATTGAGACACCATCTCATTGTTGTATAACGTAATTTTCTTTAGATATAACTCCATTTGTGAACATAGCCAAGACCGTAGCAACGAATCCAACAGATGTGCATGCTCAAAGAAGATTGTCTGATTCTGCTCAAAAGGCAAGAAAATACTACTAAGTTATCTATCTCGTATTTATTTACAAAGAGGGAAGAGGGAGGAGGGTGGTGTATTGTTATTGGAGGGGGGAGGGGGTTAATAAATTGCTTCCTCTAAAAAGGAAGTGGGAAGTTATTTTAGAGTGAGGTTTTATCAAAGAAGATTGTCTGATTCCGTTCAAAATGCGAAAAAATGTTACTTGTGTTTCTTTACAAAGATGAAGGACGGTAGTTCACTATTATTGGGGCGAGGGAGACTAATAAATCCCTCCCTCTATAAAGGGAGTGCATGGGTGTTGCTTGCGAGGGAGGCTTCATTGTTAAGACAAGCTTTCTTAGATTTTGAGCCAGTTAAAATTATTCGCCTTCTACGGTCGACTTTAGGAACTTTCCGATGTGTTCTACACACGTAAAAATCTCACATCTTTTAACAAGTCTGCCAACAAGCCGTCAACAAGATGTATTCGCACTGCTTGTCACTAGTTGTCAACAGGTTTGGAACAACTTGTAACAACCTTGTTGAAATTATCAGACTTGTTGCAAGGTTGTTCTGACAAGTCTGTTACATGCTTGATATAACACGATTGTTACAACCTTGTGTTGACAACCGTGTAACATCCTTGTTATATCATGGCTGTAACAAACTTGTTAGCTCAGTCTTGTAACAAGGCTGATAATGGCATCAAGCTTGTTAGAAGTTGTTAACAGCTTGTTCCAAACTTGTTACAATAAACTGGGAACAAGCAGTGCGAACACAACTTGTTGACAGCTTGTGAACAGACGTGTAACAACTTTGTTTGCAGACTTGCTACAAGCTGTGCGTTTTTACGCGTGTAGAATACAGTATAAGCATGATGACCTGTTAGAAAACGCTGTTACATTTTGCAGCGAAGCAAGCAATTTACTCGAGATCAAAGCTGATTGTATTTTTCCACTTTCCAGATCAATGACTCAGTAAGTGGTATACGTTACGCCGTTGCCCAGAACATGATGACCGAGCCCGAACCAGACTTCCCTCCTCCTCCACCGGAAATACCTGATATTATACCGGAAGTGAGCAGGATGCACATCGCAGGTAACCACCAGTACTGTATTAAGGCCCGTTTACAACGGCGATTTTTGCTGCGATTTCAGTTGCGATTTTCTCCTTTTGAAGGATGTGAAGGAGTAGATCAGTTATAAATGTTCCAGGTTATGAAATCTCATAACAACATCATTAAGTAATCTACTCCTTCACATCCTCCAAAAGGAGAAAATCGCAGCAAAAATCGCCCGTGTAAACGGGCCTTTAAGGTCCGTTTACACTTGCCATTTTCGCTGTGATTTCTAGTGCGATTTTCGTCTTCTCATGGATGTGAACGAGTGGATGAGTATGAATGTTCTGAATGTGTGTACCCTCATCTGAACATTCATAGCTCATCCACTCGTTCACATCCATCAGAGGGAGAAAATCGCAGCTGTATATACCCAACTGTACATTTTACATAAACTTCTGCGTGTCCAAAATGCATTGCAAGTTGGAGCAAAATTGTCTCGTGTACAGTGAGACACCACCTTGTATATTTTATACACTCGTGTTATGAATATTATGTACTATTTAAAACGCGAGCAGGAGTGCTTTGTCAGATATAAACACACGCTCCGTTTCAGTTTGGGTATAAAATTGAGTATTTTGATAGCGTGGCCTTTCACGCTATATAATAAACCTCGTAATAAACGCCTGATAAATAATCAGTGCTAGCACAACGGCTCCAAAATCACAACAAATAACAGAGTATAACGTAAATTAAAAACAGCAAAGCTTTACCTACCTCGATCTATTCTTCTAAGGCACTCGATTATGTAAATTTTTGGCGAACAATCAACATTTTCTTTGCGTTTGCTCGACGAAAACCATGGACGAAAATGTGCACATGATTCAAAATATATTATTATGCCCGTAAATTCTCGTCAGTATTTGTCGTATTTGACGTATTACCTCATGTTCCACGTGATCTGCCGCAAGTTTCACCACCAACAACGGACACGAATTTTAAGCTATATGATAGTTACATGCCATATATGGCTTTTAAGCTATATGATAGTTGCATGCCATATTATTATCTCACAGAAATGTATTTTTCTTCAGAGGAATGTCCCCCACCGCCAAGGCCACCCCCTCCGTCAGTTGAAGTGGTAGTTCCCCCACGTCCACCACCACCGTCAGAACCCATGGATGCCCAAGTTGTGGAGATGTTACAACGCCCTCCGGAGGATAACAGAATTGCTGTGAGTAAAACAATTTACATTGGGAGGAGAATCTTTTGTATGTTACGTAACACGCGCTCAATCAATATATGTTCCTACTTGGTTACGACTATATTCAATTTTTTAAATTTTTGATACCTTACTCAAACGGCAAACAAACTTTAAAAATATGTCTAGTGCTTTATCTGTAAAATTATGCTAAAATGAAGAGATTTTAGATGGTACGCCAAAGAGAAAATGATGTCTGAAGTTCAGTAAATTTTGCTTATATTGCTGTATAAATATATGGCGTCAATTTTACAGCATCAATAATAATTGTATTTAAATTGACAGTATTTAACTATTATTTTGTGTTTCTCAACCACAAGATACATTTAAAAAGGTTGCTAACTGTGTGAACTACAAAATAGAACTAAAGCAAAGTAATTGTGAGAGGAAAAAGCCAAAACGATTTTAGGTTTTGAACACTTTTAATCGCAAATGCGTGACAGTGAAATAAATTGCCTCTTAGTAGCTTCGTTGATTATCTTTCAAATGAGCTACAGCTGAATATATTAGAGAGATTTAAATTTGACTTCCACTATCGCTATACCATTAAGGGACGCTTAACCAATCTGATGCGTTTGATATGCACACGTAAAATTCTCCCAAGTTGTCAACAGGATGTGTTCGCAACAGGCTTGTGGCAAGCTTGTCAACAAGTTGTAAGAACGCCGTTATTTCATCACGTTGCTACAAGGTTGTCACTCACAACGTGTTGACAAATTGTTGGGACAACTTGTAACAAGTTTGTTGAGCTCAACAACCTTGTAGCACGTTGTCAACAAGCCTTTGAGAACTTGTCAACAAGCTGGGAACAAGCAGTGCGAACAACATCCTGATGACTAGTTGTTGCAACAAGTTTGGAGCAAGCAAGTAACAAGCTTGATGGCATTATCAGATGTGTGTAATGGACGTAGAATATCATTCTTAAGCCTGGTTTCCATATGGTCGTAACGGTCGTAAAGATTGAGTCACGATCTTTCTCGTCAGCCGAAATACAATATTTTAGAACTGAAATTACGCGGAGTGATTAGAACTGGAGAATATTTATGATTTGTATGTGGTTTACAGGTATAAACTATTGTAAACTGGCCGTTGAGAAAGATCGTGACTCTATTTTACGACTATTACGACCATATGGAAACCATAAAATTTTCTAAAAAAAATACAAAAAAACCTCGACCTTCCATAACCTGAGTTCTTGCAACAAGAATATGGAACTGAGGTATTTTTCCCCCCAAACCACTGTATTTAGCAACTTCGAATTAAAAAATCTGTTTTATTCCAGATGGCGGCTCATCAGCTTCACAGAGAGACGGTGAGATGGGAGGAACAAGGCAATGAACTGGTCGCTGCGGCCAAGAAACTCGCTGTATTATTTGCGAAAATTGCCAGATTTATGAGGTGTGTGTGTGTGTGTGTTGGGTTTTGTTTGTATTGAGATAATTCCATTCGGTTCTCGTCAGCTATAGGAAATATATTTCTAGATGGGAACAACAATACTTAAAGATTTTCACCCGTAAGGCTTTGTTTCCATTTTAATCAACTCGTGTAAATGGACTCCTATCTTGTCTACACGCGTAAAACTCTCACATCTTGTAGCGACAAGTTGTGTTCGCACTGCTTGTCTCAAGTTGTCAACAAGTTTGGAATGAGCTGTTAACAACTTGTAACAACCTTGTTGATATTATCAGACTTGTTGCAAGGTTGTTATAACAATATTGTTACAACCTTGTGTGGTCAACCTTGTAACATTCTTGTTATATCTTGACTGTATCAGACTTGTTAGAACAACCTTGGAACAAGTCTGATAATGCCATCAAGCTTGTTACAAGTTGTTAACAGCTTGTTCCAAACTTGTTACAACAGAACTGGGAACAAGCAGTGCGAACACAACTTGTTGACAGCTTGTGAACAGATTTGTAACAACTTTGTTTGCAGAGTATATTAGCACTATATACACATGTAAAAACGCACAAGTTGTGACAAACCTGCAGCAGACCTGTAGCAATGCTGTTCCAACAACTTGTCAATAGGATGTGTTTGCATTACTTGTTCCCAGCTTGTCAAACGGCTTCTTGACAACTTGCTACAATGTTGTTGAGCTCAACAGACTTGTTACTATACAATTACTTTATGGTTTCCGTGTTTGGATGGCCTGATCCAAACACGCGGGAATGTTGCGAGGGTTAAGAAAACAGGCGAGCAGTGATATGGTTCACGGAGTCAAGTTTGTGAGTGACAACCTTGTAGCAACTTGATGAAATATCAGCATTGATACAACTTGTTGACAAGCTTGCCACAAGCTTGTTGCGAACACATCTTGTGTTGAGAAGATTTTTGCGTGTGTACTGTGTAGTTTTATCTTATCTTGTAAAAGCATTGAGCGCTGTATGTTCCTAAAACGTATGTATTATTATCAAATAAGGCTTAAATAAGTTCTTTATTTCTTTTTACTTACAGTGAGGAGGAAGACGGCAAAGCTAGATCAAAGAAAGAATTAATTGAACTGGCTAAACTGATCGCCAAAGAAAGCAAAGAGGTCGTCAAGCTATCTCGCGCCATGGCTAACAAATGCACGGACAAATCCATGAAGAAAAATTTGCTGACAGTCATTGATAGAATACCCACCATTAGTACACAACTCAAGATTGTTGCCACTGTTAAAGCTACTATGATTGGAGCTGATGGTTAGTATAGGGTCATATTTGGTTACTACCCTAAGGAGTAGGGTTGTATTTAGTTATTATCGTAATCCCTGGGTGAAGGGTTATATTCAGTTATTACCCTTTGATGAAGGGTTATATTTAGTTACTACCCTTTGACGAAGGGTTATACTGTATTTAGTTATTACCCTTTGATGAAGGGTTATATTTATAGTTATTTAGTACCCTTTGATGAAGGATTATATTTAGTTACAGTATTACCATGGGGGTATATTTATTGGTAGGACACCAACCATTACCACACAACTGAAGATCGTTGCCAAACTTGCCATATATACATATAGCGGGTAATATTTTGTTATTACCCTGAGTAATAGGGTTATATTGAGTTATTACCCTTGAGTTGTGGGTGTTATTACCGTGGCTAACTTAGATATTTTCCCACTTCAGACGAGGGCGCGGACCAAGAAGCAACTGAATCCTTGGTAGGCTGCGCCGAAAATCTCATGTCAGCGGTTCGTCAAACCGTCCGAGAGAGCGAGGGGGTTGGGGTAAAGATTCGCAGTGATATGGTTCACGGAGTCAAGTTTGTCAGACGAGATTATCCACGATAAGTTTCAGAACTGATATAGTAAAAATTTAGGAAGACTTTTATAAGAATTTAGAATACTTTTCTATGTTGTCATAGCCTCAGAGTCATATATATTGTGGTGCAATAAATAACTGGTACGAATTTTACATTAGCATCTATTTCAGAGCCATTAAGAAGGGAATATGATATTATATATATACATTATAGTAAAAAACCTAACATCGTATTGTCAGCATAAATTTGATTTCAAACTATATATGGACTAAATCTCACAACTTGTCAACAAGATGTGTTCACAACAGGCTTGTAGCAAGCTTGTCAGCAAGTTGTAACAATCTGTTATTTCATCAAGTTGCTACAAGGTTGTCACTCCCAACTTGTTGACAAATTGTTGAATTGGAGGACGATAACAACTTGTTGGAACAACTTGTAACAAGTCTGTTGAGCTCAACAACCTTGTAGCAAGTTGTCAACAAGCCGTTGACAACTTGTCAGCAAGCTGGGAACAAGCAGTGCGAACACATCCTGATGACAAGTTGTTGGAACAGCATTGCTACAAGTCTGTTGCAGGTTTATTACAATTTGTGCGTTTTACGTGTGTAGATTGAAAAAATATACCGAATTTTGTGTACACTTTTGACTCGAAAACTCGACGACCTTTGGATAACTCACCATAGAACAGAACAAAGGTAACATTACATAATTATTTACACGAGTGAATAACTCCATAATTAGATTGCCAAACGTATGTTACGACTGGTAAACTAAATTGAAAATTTGGTTTGGTGTTCCTACAGTATGCTAGCGAGCTCTTCATGTTGACAGTTCTTACAAATTGCTTTTTCAGTCGTTTGCATGTTTAAGTTCTCTGAAGTTAAATTATTCTCTTCTATCCAACCAGGTATTGATTGCAAACTACAAAATTATGTGTTCGAACCATTGCTTGGTTGCTTGGGACAATTGGCCGGTAAGAAATTTAGTATAATTATGTCAGTTATGACGGAGGGCATGGCACCGAAGAGAAAATGGTTGGGTAAACAAAATTTTGAGTGAGTAAAAGGTTGGGTGAATGAAAAACAAAACAACTCAAGGATTGGGTAATAACAATGTATTGTCATTTCTCAAATACTCTCGCTGAAATATTGAAGATTAAAAAGCAGTATCAACAGTCATATATGTCAATACAATATGTAAATCAATCAGAGTCACTATCTTGATAATTTTCCGATTTGTCAGGAGGCAAATGGTGTCTCCAAAGAAAGTACATGTGCAGACAACATGAAACTTTAGACTGCAGAAAATTGCACAAGCACTTATAAAACTCGTGTCACAGAAGTGGCAAGGAACATATGTGACAACTGAATGGTGTCCTTTTGTAAAGTTTTTGCCAAGGGGTGGGTATTTATTTCTGAATTGATATTTTTGATATTGAATTCGGTGCCATCCCCGACCATCAATAATGCCTGGTCCCTTATTGGGATAAAACCAACAAGAATTTGATATATTTGTTCTGAGTTACTTGGAAAATGAGCTCTTTGCACTAAACTTTGTTTCTTTTGCATCTAAATATCGTATAGAAAACTTGATAGAATCCTTTCCTGAAAAGCGGATTCATCATACCATATACCAGCGGATTAAAGATAGCGTTGCTATAGGCAACTTTCGAGGTTATAAAATCTGCAGTTTCGTATCGTTTGCCCGTGTGTAAACAATATAAATTATAAACAGCGAAAGGGGTCAAAGACAGCACAAACACTCCAATTATTGCTAGCATTGTTAGCGCCGCCTTGGATTCTTGTTTCAATTTCGTGTGAAAACTTTTGCGTTTTGGTAATGTCGTTTTAGTTGGTTTATGCTCTTTATTCTGATTGGTTGTGTAGGCTTTTGCTTTGCTCTGATTGGCCTGTGGATGAAATGGGGTATTTTGGTTGGTTAAAGAAGTTGTGCGCGGAGTGTCCTGATTGGTGGGGAACGATTCACGCTGATTGGTCAATGTATCCAACATTGGTGAGTGAACTGCATTTTCATTGGTCAATTCAACTGAGTTCCGATAAGTTGGGTGAAACGTGTTTTCATTTGGCAATTGACTTGCTCTCGGATTGGTTAGCTGCACTGCATTCTCATTGGTCAATTGACCTGCGGTTTGATTGGTTAGCTGAACTTCATTTTCATTGGTCCATTGGGCTATACTTTGATGAACTGCATTTCCATTGGTCAATTTATTTGTGCCTTGATTGGTTAACTGAAGTGCAGTATCATTGGTCAATTGAAGTGCACTTTGATTGGTTGAATAAACCGTGTTCCCATTGGCCAATTCTTCTGTGGTTTGATTGGATAGCTGAACTACAGTATCATTGGTCAATCGAAATGCACTTTGATTGGTTGAATAAACAGTGTTCTCATTGGCCAATTCTTCTGTGATTTGATTGGTTAGCTGAACTGCATCCTCACTTGTCAATTGATCATTAGTCAACTGATTGGTTTGTCGAACTCGAATCTCATTGTTGGTCAATTGATTTGCCTTCTGATTGGCTTGCTGAACTTTGTCCAGTTCATATATCATCTGATTTGTTGGGTGTACGTAGTTACACCTGATTGCCCTGACCTGCTTTCTTACAGCCCTGAATATTTGAAAGTATGTAACAAATATCACATTTAGTGGAATACCAAAAACTACAACAAATATGAACAATGTGAAAGATTTATCGCTCTTGAAATCTGTGACACATAGCGATGTACCATGCAGATATATATACCGTCCCCAACCAAGCAAGGGAAATATCCCAGATATCACCCCGAACACCCAGAGTATAAAAATTATTAACCAGACTCGTTTCAAGGTCATTATCTGATGATATCGTATCGCGTGGATAATTGCTACATAACGATCCAATGAAATTGCAGCCAGGGTTAAAAGTGCAACACCAACCTCGTACCCAGGGCCTCCTGGTGCAACACATGATAACACTTGGTTTGTAAAACCGTTTAAAACGCACAATTCGCGTCCACTCGACCAACCGTCGAAAAAAAGTGCCGGTATGCCGAACGGGAGTAAAAAACCGCCAACCAGTAAATCTATTAAGGCCAGGTTACCAATGAGAACGCCGCTCGGGGACTGGTACTGCTTTGTGATGTAGATTACTAGGAGTATCAGTAGACTACCAAGTACGATTAGGAGTATAAAGAGAAGATGTAGGATAAAACGGAATGTGTCGTAGCTATCCATAAATGACCCACTGCGAAAAATGTTCCCGATATTTGACCGCTTGGAGCTATAAAAATGAAAATTAATTCATTTAGTTCAGTACGGTAAACACATTAAAAAAACTTATCACCAAATTTCCAGCTTTGGAAACTTACATGCCTATAGTTACCATTGTTCTAGTTTACCTCAACTATTGAAACTGCATCCTAACCACCCACAACAACTGTTTCCAGCCATAACTGCTGTCAAAAACCAACACGTTTGCATTTATATAGACTGTTAGGCTGTTTTGGATTTTTAAATTAGCCGCAAATACTCGATAGTCGTATATACGCATGCAGTGGATTTGTCGACATGTACGATTTTTTACTGCGAGTGTATTGTTTGTTTTGAAATTCTTGCAATTTGTGTGGGTCCACAGGAGTGCAATAGACCCATTGCACTGATCGTCACAAATCCTTAGAGTGTCCTCCAGATGCTTTCTAACAATATCAGTTCGGGTACAACAACCACATACAGCGCAAAAATTAACCATTTTAATTAATTAATGCCAAATTATTATAAGTTTTACAAAAATTAGCTTTGTTTACAACAGTTATATTATGCATAGATTGCTAATTTGTCCTCCAGATGCATCGTTACCGGCGCTGTGACGTCATGTGCAATGGGTCTATAGGCAATTCCAGCTGTTAACTTATGCGCGCAGGGGGTGATGGGAAGTAAGGTATCATATTGTGGATTATGCTGAGAATTTTCAATAAAAACTGCCGAAACAACCGAAAATTTCAATATTTATTAGTATAAGCTTTTACACGGACAGTAGTTTTATTTTTTCAGCATAATCAGCATATGATACCTTACTTACCATCACCCCCTGCGCGCATAAACTAAAAGCTGGAATTGCCTATTGCACACCAGCATGGTTTTCAAACAATCATGTTGTAATTATAAAAAAATTTAAAATAAAATAATTTCAAATACTAATAGTAAAATAGACGTACACAACATTATGTATATATCATCTTACATGCATGAATACTTGGCACTACTTGCTAAGACTCGATACTAGTCGTATATACGCATGCAGTGGATTTGTCGACATATCACGATTTTTACTGCGAGTGTATTGTTTGTTTTGAAATTATTGCAATTTGTGTGGGCCCACAGGAGTGCAATTGCACACCAGCATGGTTTTCAAACAATCATGTTGTAATTATAATTTTAAAATGAAATAATCTTAAATAATTTCAAATACTAATAGCCTGAAATAGACGTACACAACATTATGTGTATATCATGTTACATGCATGAGTACTTGCTAAGTTTGTGCGAAGTAAGACATGATTTAATGTTAATTATCGCACGTACTCACTATTCGTGCTTTAAAGTCTAAAATGGTTCGAGTCTAATTTTAAAGTTCGAGTCTTATCATTGCTAAGAGGTATTAGGGTCTATCACAATTCATAACTATCGTGTGCAGATCTTAATTTGCGGAATTGAAAGAATGAAAGTGCATGTGTTATTGTAGGTCTGATTTACCAAGAAATGTTCTCGAATTTCACGGAAAAAACCATTTAGGTTTAATTTACACAAATTTTCAGCTAACAATCCCACAATCCACTTCGATATGTACTTCCGTCTCTCTCTGGCTTGGTTGCATCAAAATGTTTATTAAATACCAACCACATTAACACTTTTGAAGCCAATTTATACGCGATTCATTATTTCCTTTCGCAATACAAGCAATCCACTTTCATTCAAGATGGCCTCAGCTAGCAGCATGCTACCATCAAACCAAAGACAAGATCTAAAGAGCTTACTAGAGTGTGCAATTTGCCTGGAGACATTTGACGACCCTTGTACACTGCCATGTCTACATTCGTTTTGTAAAAAATGTTTGGAACATTTTGTGGATGGAAAATGTGAAGATGAGTTAAATTGTCCCGTGTGTCGTTCCAAGTTCACGATTAATGAAGAAGGTAAAACTATACTACTTTTGACTTGAAACATTACTTATATACAAGGGTATTATAGAACGTTCACGTTACATATTTCATGAGCGGCCGTGTTATATAATATATTCGAAGCGAGCGGATAGTGTATATAGATTGTGATTCGTTGTGATGAAAATGTTCATTATCTTTAAGTACTAGTTAAAACATGAGCAGCTGTGTTGTATAGTTAACCTGCGTGTCAGGCTCTATCGGATATTATACAAATGCGAGAGTTTGTATCTGCATCTAGTGCTGTGCGCCGGAGCCGGAGTTCTGACGGAGCACCGGCGGTTTTTCCAACGCCGGAGCAGAATTTTGAATGCCGGAGCCAGAGTTACGTTTTCCCAGCTCCGGCAAAATGACAAGAAAATAATATGAAATGAGACAAATGTCAAACGATTGTTAGTTACTGCAAACTGCCAATTGCTGTTGATGAATTCATTATAGACTCAAACTGCCACAGCTCACAGGAACAGCGTCGAAAAGCTGTAATACGATCGCAACTTACAAACGTCATGCTTTCATGAAGCCATCTGACTTAGCGCTACATACAGTCTGTGTATTCATGCCTTGTAGATAACGAAAAAGTACGAAACAACGTTTGCGTGCAAACAATTGCGCTGTGGAGTCCGAGAGTGTTAGCGTCATGCCTCGCGTCATGCTATACTTGGGAGATGCTAAGCATCATGGGGCGAGCAAGAGCAACGACAACCTCGTACCCAGGGCTTCTGCGATTAAGCCCTGGGTGACGAGGTTGGAGCAACGATAGCCAGTAACTACATAATCATGCAACAATTGTTACTAATGGCAACCTTTCTTGTTTCCGCACTTAATTAAACTATCCATCCGATATACAACATGGACGCGAATTTTGTAAATGGCTTGATGAGAACACTCGTATTCTTCAACAATTTAATAGAATAAATTTATAAATGAATGATATTTGGTGAGAAAATTGAACTTAAAGTTTATGTAAATTGGCATATTTTGTATCAGATATACAAACTCCTTCACGGTCGTGTTTCCCTTGGTGTTTGCTTTATGAATTATTGTCAGAATTCTATGTACACTGTACTAGATAAAACATGCTCATCCGATCTTTATCTGATATTAAAACTGGAGCAGAAGACGAGAATTTGTATATCAGATAAAGATCGGATGCGCATGTTTTAACACGCTTAAAAAACTTATCCATCTTATGAGTTCACTAGCGAAGTAATTTTAAAAATAAACATTGTCTAAGCCGAGAATATCAAAGCTGAAGTTTATGTAAATCAGGACAAATCTTTATCCGATTTACAAACATTGATTAAACATTCATTCCTTTTGTATTTTCCTTATGAATTATTGATTTTTTAATATAATTTATCTAGAAGGAGTGGCAGGGATGACTAGAAATCATTTTATTTGTAATATGGTCGAAGTGCTGTCTATACAAGATCAAGACACATGTATACCTTGCTTTCATTGTAAACAAGCGTCTGTTGCTCGTTGCGTAACAAGTGAACTGTTCATGTGCGAGAAATGTTTACAGTCTCATAATGGCTACATTGGATTTCGAGATCACGTTGTCCTCACAATGGAAGAACTGCTAAAGCCTGAGAATCAGTCGAAAATCAAAGGGAAATCATATTGCAAGAAACATGCAAGTAAAAAGTTGAAGCTATATTGTGAAACATGCGAGGAATTGATATGTACTTATTGTGTAGTTTTTGAACACGTGCGACCCCATCATGTGTGTTCTCCGCTTGAAGAAATCGCAGAAAGAAAACGCGAAGAATTAAAAACGATATGCGAGACTCTTAACAGTGACGTGTATGACAATACCCAACATTACGATGAGTTGGCAATAACGTCATTTTATTTGGACAAAGATTTAGAAGAAGTAAAGAGTCATATCAACAAGAGGAAAAACAGTGTTTTGACATTTCTAAAGAATATTCTCGAAAAGAAAGCACAATCCCTTATTGAAGAAACAGAAAACACTGTTAGAGTAAAAAACCAGACAATTGATGAAGAGTTAAAACGTGTTACTGACCATATAGCAGGACAAAAAAAGACATGCGATATGGCAGAGGCCCTAGTTGAAAATGGAAGCAACGAAGAAATCATGTTATCACACAAGTTAGTTCAGCAAAGTTTAGAAAACAGCGAGAAAGAATATGGAAGAAAGGAGATAGATGCCAAATTGCCTCAATATAGTGATGGAGTACTGGATAGTAAATTTTTTGATGAAATCAAAGCAATTAACTTAAAAGGTATGTTTTTAAATCTGACAATCCTTAATCAGGCCAGAATAGTCCCTATTAAATTATTACTTATTTATGGCAGTACATATGACCCCTTTCAAAGAGCAAGTGATTTATATTGTTTTAGATACAAAGCAAAGAAGAACATTCAAGGAACTAAGAAAGACAAGAATGTCCATCGCTGGAAACCGCAGTATCAATCCCGATAACGTCGTTGCTATAGAAATGGCGGCAACGGGATTCTGCAATGGCTTTGGCTGGCGATGAGTATAGTCATACAGTTGAACCTCTATTAAGCGGCCACCCTCGGGGATCGGCTTTGTGGCCGCTTAATAGAGGTGGCCGCTAATAGAGGTACGCAAATAATAGACCCTGGGCGTAGTCAAATGTCTATTTTTAATTATAAATCACAGAGTACAACAGTGAACAGTGAGTAGACTTTAGAAATATCAAGGTGCCAAACACTGACATTTTTACTACAGACAATGTTTTTGAGGTGTAAAGAGGCATGTGTTAAAACATAATTATTAAGCATTAGTTTACAAATAAAGCAAATTAGCTCGACTTTATTTTATGCTCCCGTGAACAAGGTGTTGCGCCAAGTAAATCCTGCAGATTGGCCGCTTAACAGAGGTAAAAATTGACATAAAACATCATTTGGGACCTCTCTTTGGGTGGCCGCGGCCGCTAATAGAGATGGCCGTTTAATAGAGGGATAGTTTATAGTATTCGTATTACAAAAATTTCGGGACTTCGATATGTGGCCGTTTAATAGAGGGTGGCCGCTTAATGGATATTATAGCTTTATCCTGGAGAGTTGATCAATGTTTTTTGGATCTGAATTTTATGGATTTTCTTACTGTTCCTCAACATATTGAACAATCTTTGAATGGTTGAAGATGTGCCAGCCACCATTACTGTGTCATATACGCAATTGGGAATCGATCTGACTATTTTTTTAACATGCATCTATTCTTCCTAATCACTATTTCCATATTATTGCCTATTGGATACAATCAATATTGCATATTGGACTTTTTCTACAGTAATTAATATTTTCGATGTATATGATTTATTACTAAAATTTAAATAAACTGTGTGTGATTTGAGCATGTTTGATAGTAGTTATACTCTGTGCGAGACTGCGGGTGTGCAGATTGCAAATTGCATAACGATATTTTCATGTTGTAATTCTTTTCCGTGATGTTAAAGACCATATCAAGTCCGTTCTGCGCATCAGTTTTGCTCATAATAAAGGGGCAACCACAGATATAAACACAACCTCGCAAGCTAGGTGTTCTACCTGCGTGTAGGTACCCTGGCTTGCGAGGTTGATTAAACATTGCCCAAATTTTGTATCTTTCGAACTTTTTTGAATTGAAACGTACTCTAGTTTATATTCATTTACAATAGCGAACCAGAAAAGTGTTAGATATTACTTACATTGACATTTTTGCAGAAATGAACACGTATACGCTTTGAAGTGTTTTTCTTCATCAATTTATTGATAAAATTATTTTTAAATACAAATTGAGAAACTGCAGAGAATCTGAGAGAGACCATCGAACTAAAATTATATACTCGTGAAAATTGTTAATCTATAGATAAGATTTGTTCACATACAGCATTTCGCGAACTTAATTGTGAAATAATGAATTTTGAATATTAAACAAAGTTTTTGACCGTCTATGTCAGTATGACTAAATTAAATTGAACTAACGTTATTGATATTGTTTGTTTGCAATCACATGACTTTTCATCCAAATGACGGGCATGAATCAAACAACTTGTGGACGATTTTTATTCTTTTATCAGAATGGTTGTAGCAGGAAAAACTGAACGGTAATTCATCTTTTGAGTCTTAAACTGTCTCTAAACTCGATCAATACATTAAAATAGCCGTTTTTTGTTATACCTGCCCGTCAACTGAAATCCAAAATTACGTCATAGCCATAGCCATAGGTCCAGTGCAGGGTCCAGTGAGCGTCATCCCATCTTTGTTACAACAGGAGGAAACGTAAAATGCGGACTTCATTTATACTGATTTTTTCGAGGCCACCTTTTTCATTATATCAAATTCGTGTCTAAATAGATTAGAAGCAAACTTTACCTTTTAAAGAAGTGAAAGTTGACAAACGACCACCTTTTCAGAGACTTTATTTAATCGCATGGTTTGTTTACAGTCCTTGTCGTATTTCAAACAAGTCTGAATCTAAATTTGGATTGAAAAGTTAGTTTGCTTGGCTTGACGCACGAGCGAGTTAATTAATTTGACAAAATTGTGAAAGGCGACAATTATGGAATTTCATGCCGTGGCAACTAAGGGCGCTTTCCATTAAGACGGTCAGAACGGTCAAATTGTTGAACGGAACACAAAACGTTTGGACTTCGGACAGTCTGACCGGAAAATTTAGACAAAATTAGAATGAGGTCCATTTTTGCTGGATATTTGAGAAAATATATATAGACGTACATGAGACACGAAAATTCGGGTCCCTGACCGGCCAGGCCATTGAATGGAAAAAGCCCTAGTTTTCCAAGCTGGCCACGGTTCGTAACGGTCTTTGAAATCCTTGAAAGTCTTTAAATTTGAATGCAGGTCTTTAAAGTCTTTGAAAAGGCTTTGAATTGTGTAAAAACGCGAAGAAAGTCTTTAAAAGTCTTTAAATTCTTTAGTAAGTGTTTGGTTATACGATTTCCTAGCTAATAAAGTAGGTTGATTGAAGAGCAAGGTTTTCGCAATATCGACGAAAAGGCGCATTTTAGGATGTGATTTGACGGGACTAATTACCGGGTATAACAATGGCGCTTACACTCGCAACGTTTCGACAGCTGATGCTCTGAAAGGTCTTTGAAAAGTTTTTGAAAATAGGCAGAAAAAATCTTTGAGAGTCTTTGAATTTTTTTGCTCTTGGAGACTACGAACCCTGCTGGCTTTAGAAATGCCTTTCGTAACCTTTTGAAATTGTATATACAATATTCGATGGTTATGAGAACATCCGCATTCGCTACGTCGTTTTTCAACCGAGTAGTTAACCTTTGGAACTATGTTTGTAGAATAGCGTCAAGCCTTGCATGTGTCTCGATTTATTGGTCGTATACACCTAGCCTTGTAATCTATAATTTTGTGTCCAATAAAGCTGATAAAACAAAATAAAATTAAAATAAATAAAATATTTTCATACAACCTTTCAACAACTTCGTCCATTAAAGTGGACTATATATAGCCTTCCCTAGTAATATTTAATAACATATATTTTAAACACACCTTCAGTTTAGTAAGATGAAAAACCTGTCCTTTTTTGCTACTGTATATATGCGTGTTGTTCAACTTAAAGTCATGACAAGCTTGTGACCGTTAATATGTAACCGTTAACACCGATTATGCGATGAGTCGTAAAAATTAAAATTTAATAAATTAAGTTTTAATTGTGTGGCGATTTCTCGCTTATCAAACGTATTTTTATTTGTTATATATTGTACGTATAGACGTGTTTATCAACGATATTAATTTTTGCTTTCTCAAATGACCGGCAGTCGTATTCACTAATTGTTTTTAATAAATTTTCTTTACAGATTATCGGCTGTTTAAATTTTACAGGGGATATTTTAAGATTAAAAATAAGAGCAGATTTTTTTATATGTTAAGTAACATATGCTACATCCAAAATTTTTATTTTTCGATATCGCTTCCTCAAGCAAAAAACAAATTTAAAAAGTATGTTTAGTGCTTTATCTGTAAAATAATGCTAAAGTGTTGAGATTTTAGATGGTACGCCAAATGATGTTTGAAGTTCAGTAAGCTTTGCTTATATTGCCGTATAAACATGGCGTCAATTTTCCACCGTCAATGTCAATGATTTAAGTTGACAATATTTAATTGTTATATTTTGTGTTTCTCAACTGCCAGATACATTTAAGTAAAGCTAAAACAAAGTAAAGCCAGGGTCAAACGTCGAACTTTTCATGTGCCAAACCTAATGCAAATGATCAAGTGAAACAAATAACTTAGCTCATTAACATTAGGTTCGGCACATGACTGAAAAGTTCGACGTTTCACCCTGGCCCAATTTGGAGAGCAGCGACAAAAATTGCCTCTTCACAAAATACAGGGTGTCTCCATGAAGGGTGGGTAGTAGTGAAGTAGTTGTAGTTCGCTACTGTAGTGAACTACAATTTTCAAGTAGCCAGTAGTTTTTGACTACTTTTTTAAAACAGTAGCTGTAGTTATTGCGAACTACATTTTGCCTAAACGTAGCCAAGTAGTTGACTACTTGTATTCATACAGCGAATTTAATCGCTATTCGCTACTTTTTAAAAATTGTTAGCAACTTGATAGAATAGCATGATATTGAGGCATGGTTTGCTTAAAACTATCAATACTCAATATAGTCAATTTGCACTCTTGAACACTGTAGTGCTTACAAAAATGTTGCTTTGTGTTTACTGTTGCTACTCGTAAGTCGATTTGTTATAAGTTACATTTCAGCCTGAGTTAGTAGATGCTTCAAATACAGTAAAACTAAAAAATATAGCGTAGCGAAATAGTTCGCTACATTTTTTAAGCAGTAGCTGTAGTCAGTAGCGAACTACCTTTGTTCAAAAGTAGCAGTAGTTGTAGCTGACTAGATATTTTCGAAGTATAGCTGTAGTTATAGCGAACTACAAAAATTTTGTAGTCAACCCACCCTTGGGTGTCTCAAAAAAAGCGAACTTTAGAAATTCACCTTATTGTTATAATTTGAATGCCTGAGTCCTATACTCAACCAATGCATGAGAAGTTATTTAAAAGTTTTCGGTATCGTTCAACATATGAATATGATTATGTGCTGATTAATTTAACACAGCGAGTAAAATAGTAAAAACTCTTTGCTCTGTAGTCAGTCGAACCATTTTTAATCGAACTGACGGAACTCATTTCTAAGTAGCTTTAACTTTCAAGTAGAATTTTCATGTACAATTTATGCAGTTTTAATATGCTCGTACGATTACAATGTATTTTAAACTCCCAGAGCAGAGGTAACGAAGTTTGGGTGTTTACAACAAAAGGATGATTTCTAAAGGTTCACTTTTTTTAGACACCTTGTATATAAAGGTTAATTGATGAGTGTTCCATCTATGTTTTAATTCAAATAGAATACCGAAGTAGGACAGCTGGCCAAGATTGGGCAGTGGAAGGTACAGTGGGCTCACAAATCACGACCATGACGTCATAAACAATAAACCCAGCGACGCGTGCGCACGAAAGCAATTAACGACATCACGAAACAAAAGGCGATTCTAATTAGAATTCCACAATTCCAACTGGTAATCTGGTACACCAACCAACAATGAAAATTCTGGAATTTATAATGAGCTTAAAGAAATGTGAATAAGATTAAAGACGAAATGTGAAGTGCAACTCGTCAGTGTCGAAAAGCACGGACAACGTGAATAATGGCTAAAACTTCGCTTTATCAAGTATTTGTTCTTGTTTTGCTCTGTTTCACGGCCAAAGCCTGGTGGCCTTTCGAGTCTGGGAAAGTGGCAGACCCGCCAACCGAAGTAAAAAACGAGAACGGCGAGAAAACGGGCGAGTTCTTGCGAAATAGTCCGGTGCCGTTTGAAATGTCGGTCGCGGAGCAGAGGTTCTTGGCCGAAGCTCAACGATACATGGGCGATATGTCCGCTCTAGATCAATGCCATCAAGTGGTAAGTATATTGACTGTGTTCCATTGGAAAACACTTAACAAACGGCGGCTTGTATCCAAAGATTATATAAGAGCTAAAACACAGAATAAGCTTTGCTGCAAGCATACAGAGTGAAACCAAATCATTGTCTCTCCCAAAACACATGTGTCGCGCACCGGACAAATAGTAGAGACCTTACGATTTTAGGACGGCAACGCGACGACCACGGCCAAAACAAACTCCTTCAAATAAATGGTAGTAAAGAAAATTCGTCGTACATTATCAATCGTATGAATTGAATACAGTTTTAGAAGTTGAAGACATGGGTTTTATGTTTGGGAAGAGTTCTGCTGAACCCAGTTTGAAGTTGCACTTGTTGCGGCTTGAAATGCAGGCGTTGTATCAAGACGTGAAATCTGTGATTTGGTGTTGTAAGCAGAGCGAGAACAATGTCTAAATTATTCATATATTGTAATTATTCAATTCGACAGCGGACATACTGAATAATAATACAAAAATATAAATATGAATATAGAGAAACTATTTACAAATTATCATGTTCTTTTATCAGCTTTTTTGCCTTTTCACATTAGCGGATAAATTATTCCAAAGAAATGCGGCACTGTTGTGACCGAAACGTCTCTTTTTCGACTCAGTTTTAGGCACCATTTCGTAAATTGTACGAAATAGGGCAATTTGTCATTTTCGAAAACTATCCACTTGCATGGGTGCAGTTAAATTGTTTCAATATTTTATATACTTAGACCCCGTTTACGCGGTACCGTACGTACGGATTTGGGACCGAACTGAAATTCGTCCTTTTTCGCCTGTTTACACGCGAATTCATCCTGTTAGGGGGTCTCAGATTCGTCCGGTTCCGCGAAAAAGGATGAATTTCAGCCAGGTTTCAAATTCGTCAGGTTCCATGTAAACGGGGTCCAAGACCAATTTTAAATAATCGCGTCTTTTTTTTAAGACCTCCCAATTGAGAGTTTCGAAAACGTCCGCTGTCCTCTTAACATGAGTTGCAACCAAGATCACTCCTGCTGCCTGGGATAGATTTCTTTGTAACTCTTTTTCAGTTGTTTCCCACAGTTTCGTCCTCGAGAATCAGATGAGGAACTTCTAATATTTTTTCCATTTTAGATCATCACTCGTTTAAGAAAATCGTGTCACGAGCTTGGCGAGGAAGAAATTGGCAAGCTATCTGTGTCGTTGTTTAACTGTCAGTCGAAAGCTGAAGGAAGAGCTTTGTTTTACTGCTCCGAAGAAATGGTGAGTTTAGAATATTCTCCGAACCGAGTTAGCGTTACCAATTTTCGTCATTTTGATATCTGGCAAAAACAGAACCCAGATATTCCACGTTATTTAGATAGTTAGACCGCTGTTGTATTTGAGCATGAAAATTTCAATTAGCAGTTTTCTTCTCTGAAGTTTCGAAATAAACAGACGTGCAGAAATACATAAACTAAAACATCGGGTTAAATTTTAACCCAGGATTAGCGCTAATCTGGCTTTAACCTAGGTTTAAGTTTATCGACTTTCAAACAAACAACTCCTAGCTAGGGTTCATTTTTACCAAACTGCACTACATTTTTATTAAACTGAAACGGGAACTGCTTCAGCAATTTCTAGATAGTTAGCCTAAGGGCATGTTTTTCTGTTGTCGTTGTCGTTGTTAATATTGTCGTTGATGTTGTTATTGTTGTTTTTGCCGTCGTTGTTGATGATGTTGATCTACGTTGTATGCTTTGTCAAGAATTTGATGTTGTGTTTGTGTATAAAGTAATTGCGTGATCTTATTATATGAATTTAGGATCTGATGTATAATTATAGTAATTATTTGATATGTATATATATTTTTGTCACTGAAAAGCCCCTTTAGGGGAGTGTCAATCAAGTCAACCAATCAATCAATCAATCAATCAAACTGCAGATAGCAAGATGAAAAATTGATGACGCTAACAGACTTTTTGTCGCTTTGAATTTTCCGAGTATGGCTTGCTTTAATTGCGCATGTGTAACTGCTCTTTTAATCACACTCGTTCAACATTTTTTCAGAGTCTTCGAGATTGTACCTCGGGGATGGACCCCGATGCATGGAATGCATACCACATCATCAGTAACCGAGCCAGATCTGTTTGTTATGCAACCAGAAATCAACAGTTTCGATTGAAAACTGAGTATCTTGTGAATCAACTCGCAGTTACTGCGGATGGCCAAATGGACTTTCTTGAGAAGCTTAAGGTATAGCAACCAAACCTATTAAAATTAAAACTTGCTTTTATTTAAACTGGGTAAACTGTTCTTCTTAGAGGTCCAGTAAGGATTATCCCTTATTGATCCAGTATTACTACAGGAGGAAACCTAAACTAAACTAACTTTATTTATACTGAATAGCTCTATCGGTTCTAAACTGTTCTTCCTAGAGGTCCAGTAAGGATCATCTCTTATTGATCCAGTGTTACTACAGGAGGAAACCTAAACTGAACTAACTTTATTTATACTGGATAGCTCTATCAGTTCTAAACTGTTTTTTCTATAGAGGTCCATTAAGAATCATCTCTTATTGATTCAGTGTTACTACAGGAGGAAACCTAAACTATTTCTAAACTGTTCTTCCTAGAGGTCTAGGAAGGATCATCTCTTATGATCCAGAGTTTTATTTTTCTACAGGAGGAAAACTAAACTAACTACGTTATTTATACTGGATAGCTCTATCTGCAGTTCTAAACTGTTCTTCCTAGTGGTCCAGTAATGACCATCTCGGATTACCATGTCTGCATGTATATAGGTTAACAAATATCATGATTTTCCAGATCGGTCAAGAAAATTTGAACGGTGTAACGAAAGGGACACTGAATAGATTAACAAGCGGTCACAGAGATCTTATTAAAGAACAAGTCCGGATTCGAAACGAGTTTGGAAACGTTAATAAGGACCTGACGGCGAAAATGAATGAAAATATGGTAGCTCTGGATTATGAAAAAAGAATTATTAAGGAAGCTGAACAACAACTTTCTTCCATGACAGAGGCCATTGCTACAACGTTAGGTAAGGAGTAATACGAGCTCACGTGGTTTATATCTTAACTACATGAAAAAGATTAACCCATTGTTCGCCATTGCTCTCCCTTTCGCGACTAAATAAAATTCATTGTGAGTCTGGCAACCGACAACGACGATGGCACATATATACAAAACGAAAGTACTTATACTTTTGTATTCGCGCCAAACATAAGCGTATGCGCCTGGGGGGGGGGGACACCCCCCAAAAATTTTTTACGATCGGATAGAAATCCATGCGTCATTCGGGCAAAACATAAAAATTTCGGAAAAATTATGTTATGTCCGGAAAATTTTTGGTATGTGTGCGAAAATTACGGGATATAAGGTTTACAGGTATAAACTATTATAAGCTGGCCGTTGAGAAAGATCGTGACTCTATTTTTACGCCCATATGGAAACCAGACTTTAGAAATCACCCTGGAACAAAAAAGTTATGAAGATTATCTCTGAGATAGATTTTTTAAATGCAAGAAATGCCACTGTACTTCTATTGTCTTTAGTTTCAAAACATTTTGTCAGTCCCTGTGGCATTTATAGTTCATATTTGGCTGGAGAAAATCGAGAAGGGAAACGCTCGAGTCAAGTGAGCCCTCTTGGGAAGGTTTGAAGTGTGCTGTGCTGTGCTGTGCTGTGCTGTTATGTTACTACCTTAAAAAACAAGTGGAAACTCGACGTTTCGGGCGAAGGCCCTTCGTCAAGAGTTAGTCGTGTGCCACTTTTCTTCTGGTAATTTTTTCGAAATTCTTTTATTCGCTCTAGGAAACACGACCGCGGAACTGCGAGAACAAGACGAGAAAAGAAAGGAAGAACATGCGGCGGTAGTAGAGGATCTTGAGGAGATCAAGGCGAAGACTGTGGATACCTGGGGATATATTGGTATGTTAAATATACATTTAAAAGACAGCATGAAACCGCGAATCATAATGAGGAAAGAACAATCGTTTTCTGTTCTTTCCACGTTGTTCCCGCATAATTCAATATCAGTGAACTCAATGTTTTTAACACTAAAAATGTTAACAAAATTGGACCTATTCCCTAATGAACAAAATTTTGATCTAGACAAATCTAGACAAAAATTTCATCACAGTTTGAACATGGATAATAAAATAAAGTGGAAAATATAGCAAAACAACAAATATGCCGAGAACTTTGGTAACATTCGCAATACGCGTGACGTCACGTTTTTCAACAAGGATGCAGTCAATGACGTCAGAAGTTTCCAATCCATTTATTTTATTATCCATGGTTTGAAAGAGCATCACAAAATTAGTAATATTTCGAAGTTTCGTTGGGAAATGTTCTAAAATACGGATAATATTATACCATTATTATAATGTAGCCCTGCGAAGTTTGTTTTCAGTCATTTTGTATTATGCGCGGGAAATTGATACCTTTTTTCAGAAAGCGGTATCAATTTCCCGTGCGTAATACAAAATGACTGAAAAACGGCAAACTTCGCAGGGCTATATTATCCGCATTTGACAACATTTCGGAATATTACTAATTTTGTGATGCTCTTTCAAGCTGTGATGAAGATTGTCTAGATCAAAATTTTGTTCATTAGGGAATAGGTCCATTGATTTTCCTTGTTATTTTTTTTCTATTAAAAGGATTGTAATGGGTCTTAAAGGCTGAACTGTGCCTTTAACTGATAACAAAATATGTGGTAGATTCCTGCTTTACTATATATGCTCATGATAACATTTTTTCACAACAGACGAAAAGACGAGCGCGATTCGTGAACGCCAAGATGAAACTTTAGATCATCATGAGAATATCATAGAAAATTTACACCGATTGAATGACACCATTGGATTCATTATAAAAGTAAGTAGACGAAATTCTGTTCTACAAAATGGCTGGTATTCGTATTCATATACCTGGAAATCTGAATCCATGCAAGTTTTTTGCTTGAGTAATTTTGTTTTATTTTTTTGTTCAATTTACGTGGGCGTGTCAACAAGTTGTGACAATGCTGTTAATTTGTCAAGCTGCTACAAGATTGTCACTCGCTTGTTGACAAATTGTTGAATTGCACGATAACAAGTTGTTGGAAAAACTTGTAACACAAGTCTGTTGAGTTCAACAATTTTGTGGCAAGTTGTCAACAAGCCGTTAACAACTTGTCAACAAGCTGGGAACAAGCAGTGCGAACACATTCTGTTGACAACGCACAAGTTGTTACAGGTCTGCAAACAAGTTGTTACAAATCTGCTCGCAAGTTGTCGACAAGTTGTCTTCGCACTACTTGTTCCCAGTTGTTGTAACAAGTTTGGGACAAGCTGTTAACAACTTGTAACAAGCTTGATAACATTATCAGACTTGTCATAAGGTTGTTCTAACAAGTTTGATACAGATATACAACAAGAATGTTACAAGGTTGACGATACAAGGTTGTAACAATATTGTTATATCACGGCTGTATCGGACTTGTTGGAACAACCTTGCAACACGTCTGATAACATGTTACAAACTTGTTGACAACTTGGGACAAGCAGTGCGAACACAACTTGTTGACGGCTTGTTGGCAGACGTGCTACAAGATGTGAGACTTTTGCGTGTGTGCAAGTCCTCTGCAGGTTTGTTACAACTTGTGCGTTTCTAAGTGTGTGGGTGGTACAGTATTTAAAAAGCCTTTCTAATCCTCAATTCTTACCCAGTCTATTAAAGATTTTGAAGCAAGATTCGACGTCCGCCTATCCTGGTTGGCCAGTCAGTTCGGGGGCGCTGAGAACCGGCTTGGTTGCCTAACCACGTGTTTCGGTCATTTTCTGTTCTTCGTCGCCATGACGATGTTCGTGCTGTTCATCAATGGTCCTACTATATCCCGCGTGTTCACTCTTATCCTCGTACCATTCAACGCTTGGGTTGAAATCAAGCTCATGGCGGGAATGTCGTATATGACGATGACCATGCTGATATTAGCTGTCGTCATTGGTGAGTGCTAAAACTGTGTAGGGTTTCATAGTAAAGGGCTTTTTGACAGAAGTATGCGGCTAGCTATGTTGGGGGGGGGGGAGGGGAGGGGTTCGAGGAAGATGAGGTATAAAACACGAGACAACAGCCGAGTGTCTTATATTTTAAGCCATTTAAAACATT